GCAGCGGCCAGGTCACTGTCCCAGACTGTTTAGTCTGGCGCTCGCTGTCCCTGTGTGCTCAGAGCCCGAGGGGGGTCCGCACACCGCGGTGTGCCCGTGAACGGCAGCGGGCGGTGGGTCAGGAGCTCGCCCTCCCTCCCCCATCGCCCGCCGGCCGTTTCAGCTCAGGAACCGCCGGCCCTGCGGCAGGGCGGCAGAACCGGTTCAGTGGGGCTCGGGGGCAGACCCAGCATGGGATGCGGAGTAGAGCTCGGGTGTCCGCAGCATGAGGACGTGGAACTGCTGCGAGGGCTGGAGCAGCTCTGCTCTGGAGCCAGGCTGAGAGCTGGGCTGGGGCAGCCTGGAGAAGGCTCCTGAAGGGGAGACCTGAGAGCAGCTCCAGTGCCTGAAGGGGCTGCAGGAAAGCTGGAGAGGGGCTGGGGACAAGGGATGCAGGGACAGGACAGGGGGAATGGCTTTGTTATAAAAACCTCGCCAATCTGTTTTAATTGATTTTTATAATTAATATCAAGAGACAATAATCAAGCAGCACCGGGTGCACCCGGGAGTCTCCGCTCCGCCCGAGACGAGCGGGGGAACTTCCGGGGATAGTCTCTTATACTCTTGGTTTCCCGGGCTTCTTGGGTTTCAGCCAATCCTGTTGTCTTCTTTTCCCGGGCTTCTTGGTTTCAGCCAATCCTGTTGTCCTCTTTTCCCGGGCTTCTGCACCTGTTGTTGGGGTCTTGTCTCCGGTCAAGAAATATTATGTCTGTCACAAGCCTGACCGCCATCTTAGCCCCCGTAAGTTCCACTCCTGATGTGTTTATTTGCTCAGTGCACAGGTTTCACAACGTTCTGTAACAGGACATATCTCTTAAGTTACCTACCCTACCCCCCCCCTCCCTTTTCTAGGAGCATTCATGCAATTTAAACAATGAATAAAACATTTCTTTGCACAGTATTGCAGTTGACCCAGGGGAATTATTCCCTTGTTTCTTCTTCCTCCTCACTGTGGTATTGACAGGGACACTTATCATGCCCTTTGCACATAGCACAATGATCACAAGGGATTCCATCTCCACACAAAGTGCAATGATCACTGCAACCCCCGAGTTGCTGACACGAATCACTTTGATGTAACTCACACAGGAAGCCTGGAGAGGGGCTTGGGACAAGGGCCTATAGGGCCAGGCCAAGGGGAATGGCTTTAACCTGCCTGAGGGGAGACTGAGATGAGCTCTTAGGCAGAAGCTCTTCCCTGGGAGGGTGCTGAGGCGCTGGCACAGGGTGCCCAGAGAAGCTGTGGCTGCCCCATCCCTGGCAGTGCTCAAGGCCAGGTTGGACACAGGGGCTTGGAGCAAGCTGCTCCAGTGGAAGGGGTCCCTGCCCGTGGCAGGGGCTGGAACTGGAGGAGCTTTAAGGTCCCTTCCACCCCGAAACAGCAGTTCTATGATCAGTCAGTTCTTCTGTCTCAGCCATACCAAGGTTTACCTAAACATCTTTGGAAGCAGGTAGAAAGGGATCAGAGCAAATCAGTGCCATAGTGACAGGCCATGTCTGGGCCAGCAGGTCTTCAGTGACTGTGCCAGTGCACCCAAAACGACACTGGTGCAGGCAGACAGAGCAACAGATCAGCAGCACTGCGCCCAAAGACACTGCTGGTCCCCGACACCTTGACCAGCACCCAGTCATATCCAGCTGGGATTCACATCCCTTTTGTTCCCACATCACTCACACACATTGGATTAGAACTGTGCAGGTGAACCGGAGTCTATATTACTATATATAAATACAAACTTATTTCTATATTTTCATGTGTATTACATAAATATGCGTTTTTATATATATTTATATATATATATACAAGTTTTTATGGATTTATATTAATGTAAAAGGTGAATAAATGCACTCATCTTTCAGCCTGGAACAGGGGATTCTTCATGCAGCGGAGCCTGCATCTGTTTTTCCCTTGGGCTTGTTCTCTAACCCAGACCTGGTTCAAGGCGGGTTGAAGCTCAGATACAGCAGGAAAGGAAGATAATAGTGAGATTTTTAGCATAGTAACAATTCTTTCTGCAAACTCAGGGGCAGCAGCAGCCTCCCCGTGCCGGGGAGCGTTTACTTAGCAGCAGGAAGCCTGAAACTTGATGCTGTCTCCACAAAAATCCTCAAGTACATTTAACAATAGGCCTTGTTTATAGGCATCAGGCCATTTGTTTTCCTCCCTTTCCTACAGTGATGCAACAGGCACTGCTGAAGAATTTGCTTTCTGAGCCAGGGGTTTTGGGTTTAGTTCCAGATTTACAGGGAGCACATTCTGGCTGCTTTGGTTAAATCTCTTCCACACTGTCTGAGGGAGGCTGAGCTCCCCAGGGGGTGATTCATCCTTTCTGCAGTGAGGGTTCAAAGGGGTGCATAGATGTAACTCAAGAACAAGGTTGGGAAGCGAGAACACAGGCTTTTAATCATATTCCCTGCTATAGATTTGCTGTACAGCCAAGGATGGGGCAGCTACAACTGCGCTGGGCAACCTGAGGAGTAGGAACAGCTTGCCCAGAGAAGCTGTGGCTGCCCCATCCCTGGCAGTGTTCAAGGCCAGGTTGGACACAGGGGCTTGGAGCAAGCTGCTCTAGGGGAAGGGGTCCCTGCCCATCGCAGGGGTTGGAACTTGATGAGCTTTAAGGTCCCTTCCAACACAAACCACTCTGGGCTTCTGTGATTCTATGATCATAGCTTTGCACCTAGGTACCCACATTGCAAGGCTGGCACTGGAGGGTGACAGTTCCCAGTTCACCATCCAGAGGACAAAAGGGGATTTGTATAGACACAGAATCACAGACTGATTTTGGCTGGAAGGGGACTTAAAGATCATGCAGTTCCAACATCCATGTTTTGATTCTGAGAACATGGGCTTTTTGTCACATTCCCTGTGACAGACTTCCTTATGGCCTTTCTCTTAATCTTACTGAAAGTAACTCAGTGTCCACCCACCATGGGAAATGAAAGGGGTTTGGGGCTTCTTTTTGCATCTTCAACATGGGTGTCACTGTGGTGTGCCCAAGAAAAAGAATGGATGTACCTGAACACAGGTCACAAGCAAGATGCAATGAAAGGAGCAGTGAGCACTGCCAGAGGGGGTTCTTATTGGAGGAGTCCCCACTTAGGCAGTGTGTCTCATGCATCAAATTGCTCTGCTGTGGCAGGGCAGGAGGTTGGGGATGAGGAGGTGGAACGGTTTATCATGGGCCACAATGCTCCATGGCTGCTTTCAGGGCCAAAACCATCCCCATCATACAACCCTGGCACAGCACTGTCCGATGCTTAAAAGAATAGTCTTAAGGAATGCGACCAGCAGGTCGAAGGAGGTGATCCTGCCACTCTACTCTGCTCTCGTGAGACCTCACCTGGAGCATTGTGTGCAGTTCTGGTGTCCTCAACATAGGAAGGACATGGAACTGTTGGAACAAGTCCAGAGGAGGCCTCGAGGATGGTCAGGGACTGGAGCACCTCCTGTATGAAGACAGGCTGAGAAAGTTGGGGCTGTTCAGCCTGGAGAAGAGAAGCTGCGTGGAGACCTCAGAGCAGCCTTCCAGTATCTGAAGGGGGCCTATAGGGATGCTGGGGAGGGACTCTTCATTAGGGACTGTAGTGACAGGACAAGGGGTAACAGGTTCAAACTTAAACAGGGGAAGTTTAGATTGGATATAGGGAAGAAGTTCTTTCCTGTGAGGGTGGTGAGGCACTGGAATGGGTTGCCCAGGGAAGTTGTGAATGCTCCATCCCTGGCAGTGTTCAAGGCCAGGCTGGATGGAGCCTTGGGTGCCATGGTTTAGTGTGAGGTGTCCCTGCCCATGGCAGGGGGGTTGGAACTGGATGATCTTGAGGTCCTTTCCACCCCTAACTATTCTATGATTCTATGACTCTACGCTGTGCATGCAATGCAGACTGACAGAAGGAAGCAGCACGTCAGCACCTCACTGGGTGAATGCGACTTCCCTGCACTGCTGTTGGCTTCTTGGTTTGCAGTAAAGTACAGACCATGGATAAAGAATCACAGCAACACAGATTCTGATGCTTCTAGGAGCTGAATGACAGACATCTCCACACCAGGCCTGGAGCCTGGGCCTTTAATCAAAAGCTTTCCTATGAAAGTTTTCAGTATTTCTTTGGATTTGCCTGTCTGAAGCTGTTCCTAAGAGCTTGATAACAGACATAGACAGAGCCAATGATCTGTTACATTAATCTCGTTGTCCTTCAAGGTAGCAAATGACATCTTCTGCCTCTCCTCCAGGTCCACTGGGCACTTTGAGGAGGAATGTGATAAAAGAACTGAAAACTTGCCATCTTTGAGCATCAAAGAGGGGAAAGAGAACAAAATACATGCTATGTGAACAGTTCTGGTGGATGAAATGCTGGATTAGGCCATAGGAAAGTGGCTTCTTGAATCTGTCACACCTTCATAGCATTGCTTTTCCTTTCCATGGATTTATTTCTGATCCTTTCTTCTCTTTAGATTGCACAGTGGGGATTATTTCATGTGTCTTACCACAAAACAAGCAAGTAATGATCAGAAGAGCTGAAGTGCTCACATTAAATAGGCAGGAAACAAAGTCCACGCTCATACCTGACCCAAGTGGTCTTTGCCGCACTTTGGAGAGGAAGATCTAGCCTGCCAAAGGGTCGGGAGGGACCTTTTGGGGTTTACTCGGACCATTTTCAGTGAGGGTTTATCTCAGTTCATTACTTGAAATGCAGCCACATGCAGCTCATTGTGTCACTATATTGAATTCTTGGGTTACCCTTTGCACTGGGATCTGCTTGAAGACCATTGGGTTCTCAAGCTGGGCTATGGTTGAGTGAGGGATTTTGCACTTGCTCCGCTTCATCAGGCTGTTTGAGGGTCCTGGCCAGGGTTTTATGGAGAGGACTGAGATTTTACATCCAGTTTCAATCCACAGGGAAAATTGAAAGTCTGCAGAAAACCCTTGACCGAGACAAGCCCAGTGGAGATGAGCCCCTTCCATGAGCTGGAAGATCTCTTGATGGGGGATGTCAGCAAGTGCTTTTCCCTGCAAGGGCTGATCAATGAACATGCTTGTGGCAAACAGGGCTTCTTGGCGAGTTGTGCAAAGTGAATCACTGCAGCAAGTGATGCACACTCTCTTCCAGCACGTCTCGCATCCTGTGTATTAATCAAATCATAGAATAGGTTGGGTTGGAAGGGACCTTTAAAGCTCATCCACTCCAACCCCCCTGCAATGAGCAGGGACACCTTCAACTAGATCAGGTTGCTCAGAACCACATCCAGCCTGGCCTTGAATGTCTCCAGGTGCATCTACCACCTCTCTGGGCACCCTCGGCCAGTGTTTCACCATCCCCAATGTAAAATGGTTCTTCCTCACATCTAACCTAAATCTCTCTTTTCGTCTGGAATTTCATGTGGAATCTAGTTGAAGATGTCCCTGCTCATTGCAGGGGGTTGGACCCAAACTATCCTGTGATTCTAATTTCACCCTTGTTCATAAGCCCATGAACTACAGAGATGCCTGATAATCATAGAATCATAGATTAGTTAGGGTTAGAAAGGACCTTAAGATCATCTAATTCCAGCCCCCAAATACACCCAATACACCTAAATGAGGTCTTGATCATACTCGTATTGCAGTTAGAGGTAGCACATGGCTCCCTGAACTTGACTGTGCATACGAGAGCACAGATAGTGGCAAGCAGGACCCAGAATGGGCTACATCTCTACCAGAACAGTTTTGGGGACCCATGTGGTGCCAGTGCTCTGAATAAATAAAACATGCTTCTATCCATCCATCCAGCACCTCTCAGCAGCAGCAAACCCCCTTTAAACAGGCAGGAAGGAACGATGCTTTATCATGCAGCATGGTGAAAGGCAGCATTGTTGGGCTGGATGGTTTCCTTACCCCCTTGTGTACGAGTCCATACACCAGGGTTTATGTTCCAGAAGTGAAAAATGACCTGCTCCTGTGTGTCCATGCACCACTTCACCCCACATGTCTGCAGCACAGCACCCAAGCAGCCTTGGTTAGCTACATACCTTGTCAAAGGGACAAACCCCACTCCGTGGTGCTGCGTTTCTCAAATTGGCTCCGTATTCCCTCATCTGCACCAGACAATTAGGAACAGGCTTCCAGGAGTGTGTTGTGCTCCGAGAAACCCAGAAAAGCCTCTGCCAATCCCCCAGTGACCCCACGACCTGGAGGTAACATCCATACTAAGCTGTTTTTAAGACAAACAGAAGGAAATACTTAGGTGTAAAATTACTTGGCAGAAGTCGACCCGTTTCCTTTTTTGACAGGGGCAAAATAAATAGAATAATCATCCCTGATCCTGAAAAACCCAACCACCCACTAAGGGAAAGGGGGGCTGTGTGCTCCTGTCGGATGATACTCTGTGCCCCTTGAACCAGGAGGCAGGACTGCCCTAGCTCTCCTCTCATACACAGCTGAGTGCATGAAAGGAGCAGGGAGTGGGAGCCAGACAGGTTCCTCTTGCTTCCCCATCACCCTCTTATCAAGACATTCCTCTCCTTCCTCAGGAGCTCTTCTGTAGGCTGCAGGGGTAGAAACCCAAGGAAAGGGTCTAGGATACTGCCCAGCTCCCCTGACATCCTTTGAGGTTGTTTTCTGGGCAGTTCCAAGGAGCTTCTTCCCTCTTGCCAAATGCAAGTCATGCGGAAGCAGCAGAGACCTGGGGGGGGGGGGTGGGGGAGGCAATAAGAGGTTTGCCAGTGTGGCAGCTCCCTCCTTGGTTGTCCCAGAGGGACCCTGCAGCCCATCCATGAACCTAGAGCAATGTGAGCACAGCACAGGACACAGGGAGCAAGAGAGATGAGCCCTTGGCACTGGTCTTTGGCATTTGAGATCACACTCTGAGCAATGTAGGAGATTAAAGCCAACACCACCCCTTGCCAGGTTTGTTGTCTAATGAAAACTCACCTTGTATTCAAACCCTGTGACTAAACAGAGGAGGAGAGACATCTCCAAACGGTGCTTTGCTGTTCTAAGGTCTGCATCTAAAGCAAGGCAGATTCCCTCCTGAACATTCAAAAACACCTAGATTTGCAGTAGACTCGCTTGTAGAGCCAGAGAGAACACTAGCAGCTGAGGATGCCTGAGCAGCCCAGCAAGCTTCACTTGTTTGGGAATCATTGCCAACAGTTTGAGTTTGCTTATGGATTTTGTTTAGTTCTAGCTGGAAACTATTCAATGTATAGTATACCATAACGTCATGCTAAATCATGCTATGTAATGCAGCTAACATCAGGGGCCACAGGCAGTAATCAGTGCTAAGGCACTGCTCAGCCATACAGTGAGGACATTCATGGCTGCCACAGAGCCAGAACCTTCTGCATCTGCTGAGATGTAATAGAAGAAGGACAGCAAAGTGCACAGCTCTTGGGAGCAAGCACAAAGCCACAACCAGAAGGCAGCATCCTGCTCATCTTTTCCACTGTTACTATTCTGGTTAAGGATGGTTTTGTGGCCATTTACCAGTAGAACTGGTAAAACCAGTAAAAAGAGATCCCAGTTAAACTTCAGTTACAATAAGGATTGGCTCAAGCAGAGAAAAATCACTTCCCAAACTGAAATAATCACACTGGCCCATGGCCATGTGTAGAGCAAGGCGCTGGCTAGCTGCATGAACAATGTAACTCTTAATTCCCTTGTCTTTTCTCCTCACCAATTCTTTCTTCTTTTTCCCCCTTGACTTCCCAATACTCAGGAAAAAAAGCAATGAAAGGAGAGAAAAAGCTCCTCTGCCTAATGGAAACAATGGGAAAGAGTTAATACTGTTGTTTAAGGAAATAACTGCCTTTATTATGCAGCAGCATTCTGACAAATGCAGAGATTTGACAGCTCAGTTAAATCCCAGAGGCTGAAAGTTCAGATGCAATTTAAACATATTTGAAAATACATTAAGAAAAGTTGATCATTTCCTTTTAAATTATTTCTGTTCTTCAACCCTTTTGTGTTTTTTTCAGGTGTTGACACACAAAACAGTGACAAAACCAGAGAAAAGGTATTGAAATTCTTACGTTTCCATCAGCATGATCTGATGCTTAACTCCCAACTCCATCTTCAGATGTTCACTGTGTAAATTGCCTCACTGCTATACCCCATCTTTTTTATTCATGGTCATAAGTCTGATGTAAGCCTATAGTTTGATATTTCATGCTCTTCTCCCCTCCCCACAAGGCAAAGGAATAAATAATTGAAAGCCAAATACAGTATTTTTTAAACAGAATATATCAGGTGCAGTTTTAATCTTTGGAATAGATAATCCCATCAGCTAATGGTTCTCCAGCCTGGTTTTAAATAAAGAATACAACTGAGAATACTTTGAGGAGGTTGTACATTGGAGTGTAGATGTCCACAACTGTGGAAGTCCTTCTAAACTCCTTTTCAGATTAATGGAGAGACATATGGCAGAGGGATTGGAACTAGATGATCTGAAGGTCCTTTCCAATCCATACCATTCTGAGATTCTGTATATACCTACTCCAACTGAGACAACTTGGCCTAAAAAGATTAATGAACAGGTCATATGAATCGATCTAGGACTCCTCACTACGTTTTGGCTCTAAAGGAATTTTAGGCAAACCACTGCAATGCAGATGTTATTCAAACAGTCTGATATTCAGCATAGCTTTTAACAGAGTCTGAGAATGGTTTGGGTTGGAAGGGACCTTAAAGCTCCTCCAGCTCCAACCCCTGCCATGGGCAGGGACCCCTTCCACTGGAGCAGCTTGCTCCAAGCCCCTGTGTCCAACCTGGCCTTGAGCACTGCCAGGGATGGGGCAGCCACAGCTTCTCTGGGCACCCTGTGCCAGCACCACAGCACCCTCACAGGGAAGAGCTTCTGCCTAAGAGCTCATCTCTTAATCATATATTACTGTTCCTCTGAACGCATCATCTCCCTCCACAGGCTGAGGTGGATTCATGGGGATTGTGTTAAAGTGGAGACTAACCTTGACATTTAGAAGCCTTTTATGCTTTGCTAATGCTCTGCAAGCTCTGACCACCCGAGCCCCTCTGCTGCATGAGGTTACCCTCCTCTTTCTTGTCTAACCACTTTGTGGCACACCTTGATCTCCAGAAAGCCAGACCAGCATCAGTCTGCAACACACAAGTTCACTAGCACATGTCAGCTGATGTGGGAAATAAGCAGGGACAGGCTTGGTCAGACATCACCTTATAAGAGCACAGATGATTAAATGCATTCGTATTTGATACTTTTGGCTTTTCAATTAAAGTATAAGTGGATTGGTAAGAAGAAATCGTGTGAGGGTTTGGTTTTTTCCCCTTCGGAAAATACAAGGTTTCCTTTCCACTTGTACCTGGGAAGGTGAAGCTCGTCCTTGAGCTAACCAACACATTTGGAATGATGAATATCATCTGGCTGGTTTCAGATGAATCAGCCTGGAATAAGACCAGTGCGGAAAGAATTTAGATACTTTCTATAGACAGGGTTAATTTCAAAAGACTGAATTCACTTGGAGATTTGGGAACCTAAGGTGGAAACATCCTGGCTTCATGAGATGGGAAAAGTGTTCTTTGAAAGTCATATTGTGTAACTTTGGGAAGTGCCTGGGAATTCCCTGTGCTGGGGAAAGCTGGGCTAGCAACCAGCAAGATCTAACACAGAGGCTTTGAAATAGTATAAGCCAAATTGCCATGGTTCTTTACACAGGAAAGGGGAAAACCACAGCAACCCATGCACACTTGCTTCATTGCACAGTTCTAAGAAGCAGTTCTCTGCTACCAGTCCTGAGTCACCTTAGGCAGGGAATCTGCAGCCACACTCAAGCCATTACTGGGAAAAGGCTCCTGAGCTCAAGTGTTCTCAAGCCCTTAGTAAAAGGATAGAGGATAGAGCATGGGAAAGTAGAGATGTTGGTAATAGGGAGAGCAAAAGGGAAATGAGGAAGAGGAAACTAAGCCTGGGAGTGATGCCTTCATTATATACACAGGATCAGGTAGAACATGAAACAGAAAGGTCACCTGTCACCAGGTAAGACTGGATCTAAGCCCATCTCTGGCAGAAGGTTGTCTGAAAGTGCTATTAAACCTCTTGGCAGAACTGAAGGCAGTAAAAGTCTCTCCAGTTCCAAGGAAACACTCTTGGGTAAGAGCTGAAGTGACAATTTATAGCTCGCTGTCAGCATCTGCTTGGCTTCATGAGAAGAGCCATCAGACCTGTCATGCTCTGAGGAAAGTGCAGTTGGGGCTTCCTCCCTCCCACTTCAAGTGCTGCTCCTGGCAGGCATGGAGGCACAGTTCTGTGCTGATGTAGGTACATCGTTAACATGGAAAACTGCATTTCAACATCAGGTTTTGTCTCTTAGGCAAAACATTTGAGAGCTGCTCTGAGAGAGCAGGGGAGAAAGAGGAAATCGCACTGCTGCAGAGTATGGAGGCAGGGTTATGATGCACTGACAGAGCAGATAGTTTTCTCTCACCACTCTCCAGAGGATGCTTTATGCTTGAGCAACTGCAGGCCAGCCTGCTTTCACTTAGACAATCTGATGCACTCCTGCATCATTTCATCACATGCTCTCCTTCCCCATTGATCCTGACCCCATTTGATACCACGAGTGAGCAGCATGAAGGTAACAGCTGTTTTAAGCTAAGACTTGTGCCTTTCTAGAACAGCATATGGAGGCTGTCGGTGGCCTGACTGCCACCATCTACAGCATTACTAATACAGCTAGTAACCTGCACGTAAGCAACAGAAACCTTCCAAGATGAAGTCTAAAACCCCAAGGTTTTTAAGGGATTTTAGAAACCAAGGTTGTCAATTCTACAGGGGAAAAACCAACAAAAACAGCTGAAGGGTGTAGAAAGAGTCTGCTAACACAAATGTCACTGCAGGGATCAAAAATAGATTATCCAAACACCTGGGAGGCCTCTTACACACAGCCCATCCCGCTCCAGAGCACAGGCTGTGCCAGGTGACCTCTCAGAGACCTTATCTAGCATATTTCCATGATTCCTACAGCAGGTTTGTGCTCCAGCCCTGATGAGTATAGGAATTCCAATGTGATGTCATAGGACAGAGTCTCTGTATTTCTTGGAGTTACTTGGTTAAGTTGGAGAAACACCAATATTAGGAATGAAACAAAAGCGATGCGAAAAGGAGATTGGCACGATTGCAGAGTCAACCACCCAAACAATAGGAAGCGCCAAGATTCAGGCTGCTTTTCTCTTTCCTGGCCTAAACTAACCTTTTTCTCCTTGCTCATCACAGAGCATGCTTTAGTACCTAAACTGCTTTTCTTGTCCCTTCTCTTCCCATCCCCTTTTGGGAGGGCACTGACCCCTCAAGACACAACGTCAGCTAATACAACCTCCAGTACCAGAGTGGAAAAAACTGCTTACGTGTCAGAGAGTATTAGTTTGTTTGTACATCCCAGGATAGTACAAGAGCAGAACATTGCTGACTCACATTCACAATGTGACCCATTGTAAACCCTAGCTCTTTCCCCTCATGCTGGCCCTCTGTCCTTTTCAGGCTGGTTAACCTCACCTAAGCATGGTCATTTCTGTTTGTGCCCATGGGCTCGCAACCTGTTTTTCCAGGCTACTTCTCCAGTTTAGGGTTTTTGCTTTGGACTCCCTTCCATTCTGCCGGCATGACCTTTCCTCTAGCCCTGACCAGTGCCACCTGCACACCTAATATGTAAAGTACACCTAATATGCAAGGTATTTCTTTATATAGGTCACCAATGGAGATATCAAATAGCCCTGAGCCCTAGAGAACACAGCTCTGCAGAGCCTTCTGCTTTAGCAGCAAACAACTATGAACCTGTTCTTACATACATTTCCATTACTTCATCCAACAGAGCTGCTGGCACATGGATATCTTCTTTTCAAACCAAAAAGGGGATGGGACACTTCACAAAGGGATGCTCGAAGAGTTACTGAAACCATGAAAGAATAACACTGAGAAGCTTTAGCAGGTGAAGCTACTCCAGATTAAAACACTTCCCTATGATCATGAGAGCATGCATCATAAGATAGCAACAAACCTGTTTCACAGCACTGTCAGACTGTATCTTCAAAAGGCTTCTTAGTTAGCTAGGGCAAGGTGGTTTTCAGTGGAAATAACAAATAATACTTTTGTAAGACAAAGACCAACACAACTTACTTAGGTTTCAAGATGAAGCAGTGCTCAGATTTAGAGACAAACACAACAAAGAGCCCCACCACACACAGGATTCCAGAATTCAGAGCAAACATTTCCCTCACAAGTAACTAAACTGTTCCAGCTAAGAAGTTTAAAGGTGTAAAGAACCCACTCCAAACTAGGAAAACCACAACCACCAACTTCACACCTTCTCCCAGAGAGGGGAAAATAAAGACAGAGAAAGGGTGATAAAATGCAGCAACACCAATAGGCCAGCACGTTTTCAGATTTCCACCCAAACCTTTTAAATGCAGAAAACATAAACTACACTTAAGAAAATACAATAGAATTAAGTCCACTTATGGCTCACCTGGAGGAAAGGGGAACTACAAGAAAGTGCAGGCTACCCAAGCATAAGTAGACTCCAGCTATAAATGCATTGAGCATCTCAGCCCGTTAAACCAGTTCTTTCCTCATTACAGCCCAGGTGGTACAAATCTAATCCTCTCAGTAATGATTGCTGGGCCCAAATTATCTCACAGTATAAATGAAGCAATGGTGTAAATGCTGTACACCTGGTGACATAGATGTCTGGGAGCTATAATAGGATAAGGGCAATCTCCTACTACTGCCTCCCCTATGTATACACTGAGAAGTGTTTGCTTCAATATGAAGCCCTCACCATTCTCCCCACTTTGTGTTTTCTGTTGCTCTTAGCTGTATTTCAGAAAGGAGAGAGATAATTTATATCCGCTTTTTCCCTGCTGCAAATTTGTCCATATATCATATGGTTTGTGATGATTTAAGGGCATGGAATTACCTGCATGCTGCTTCTTTTTCCTGCCAGCTACTGCCTGCCTTCCCTTACATTAATGTGGCAGGTTGCAGGAATTTCCTTATGATTTTCCATCCTATTTTGTTTGTGACCCAATACCAGCTTTGTTTTTTCAAACCATACTTGCTTATTGGATTAACTTCTTTCTGGAGTGGAGTATCACAGCTGCCAACTTTCTCTTATGATCTTACAGTATTGAAACTCAACCAATAGGTAAACCACGGGTAATCTCTGAAGCATAGAATATCTTTGTTTCTCACCTAAAACTGGATTGGTTTTAAGACCCTTTAAGCTTGGGGAGCTGTGGTGGTGTCAATGAGACACATCATTGAAATGTCCAACAGTTATCTCAAGTATTGTTGAGGGTCTGTGGTGTCTGTGTTCAAGAGATAATTGAGACAACGGGCTTTTTGTGGCCACTAGGTGGGGAAGCCATAGAAAGAGATATGAGAAGCATCTAGAGGGCTTTCCCTAGAGGTGTTTCACACCTTTGTCACCTGTGCTTTAAAGCTTTCCTCCTTACCTTGAAATCCATTTCCATGATGGCAAGCCCTGAAAATTGCTTTCAATCAAAACTGATAGTGCAGCAGAACATGAAGTCTTGGCCAACAAGTAGCAGATGCCACCAGCTGGAGCAGCTCAGAATTCCCAAACAGGGAAAAGAGTTCTATTGCCCTGGCTGGGGCTCAGTTAAAGCAGACTGCCATCTCCCAGAGTTTCCATGATAAGTGCTGGAAAAGAGCCCAGCCTACAAGGAGCAGATCTGATTACAGCTTTACTATGGTTTTGCCATTAGAGGCAGAATAGGTAGGAATGTTTAAACTTGTGGTTGCCTGAAACTTTTCACTTTAAAGCCCTGTTTTCATCTGCTTACAGTGCTGTCAAAACTGAAGCAAAGCACCATGAAATGAAGGGTGTATGCCATAGGCTGAAGTTCCCTGGATGCTTCAGCCAGAAGAGTTCCTGAGAACACGGCCATGGGGGGAAATATATTGTTCTCCCTATAGTAAATGATTCTGGAAACCTCCTTCCTCCCGTTGGAAAGCTGCAGTGTGCCTTTGACTTTGAACAGGCCCTCACAGTTTAGCAGGGAGCACCCTGCTAAATATCCCTGGTGCAGATGTGGCTTTTGGCACTGATAAAAGCATTTTCTCAGGCTTGATTGGGTTAAAATTGCAGAGCCTGTGTGCACTCAACAAAGTAATAGTAATAGATGTAATAGATGTAATAGATGTAATAGATGTGCAGTTAAAGTCTCTGCCCCACCCAGGCTATCTCCATACAGAGGGTGCTCCAGCATAGGCTCTTGAGAGGCTGAGCGCTGCCAGAGGTGTACATTAGCTGAGCCTAATGTCTCATTCAGCTTTTTCCCTTAAAGAGAAAAGCCTCTGATGACCTTTTGAGGGATGCTGGGCACAGCCTTCTGCTCCCTCATGGGACATCTCATGGCAGGAGTTGCTCTTTCTGGCTTTGTTCCTCAAGGCAGAGAAGATAAATCATTTCCTCGCCTTCTTCTGCACTCCTGAGATGATTACAAGTGGTGTAGATTGAGATGAGATCTTGGGAAGCTCATCTCTGCAGCTGCTGCTTAGCTGCATGCAGGGCTATAGTTCTGTCTTGAGTGATCTGGTGGGTATCACAAACTATATCCAATCTGCTGAGATAAACTAAAACTATGGCTAGAGAGATATGGTCTAAGAAATCCCTCAAGGCAGGTATGAAAGTGTCTATACTCCTTCTTTTGGATGTAAGACAGCCAAGAAGCTGGGAATTGCTTGGAATTAGGCACTGGAATCAGGTCAGTTACACTGACATAGGTGAATGACACTGAGATGTCCCAGCTGCAGACTCCCTGCCAGTGATTCCTGCTCTTTTCCTTCCTCTTTTTCTCAACACACAGTGACTTGGAGGAGCATACCTATGGTTCAGGTTGACGCCTAAATAAGGAAGAAAGCCAGAATGTCACAAACTTACCCATTTTGCACATTTTCCTTTGAATGCTGTAGGTAACCCTGTCAACCACCCACCTTCTGAAGTTCTCCTTCAGCTTTCCCTGCTCAGGGGACACGGGGCACAGCTTTCATTTGGGAAGTTCAGCCCCAAAGCTCAGTTGCTTCTATCTAAACAGCACTCATGACTGTCTAGTTCTCTCTGGTTTAGTTCCTCCATCTGTAAAAGGCATTGGTAGGCAGCAGCACTGCAGTGTCCATTCTAGGTATGGAATAAATGATGAAACTCTACCTTGATGTTGCCATGATGTACCAAAATAGAGCATTTTATCTCTGCAACTAGGAGCTGAGGCATGTTGCCTGCGATGGAGGAGGAAAGAATGAAGGTGAATTCTCTCTCCCCACCTCTAGTATTTCAGGCATGGATTTAAAGAGCAGCCAGAGGAAATTTGGCCTGGAGTTCCTACCAGATTTAGCCATTTTACTGATTGAGGAGCCTCTGATTAAATAAAATGAAGAAGGGAAACCCTCAGGTTTGCTGCTTCCAACAGAACGCATGTCAGAGCCTATGTTCCATCAGGGATGGGTGCTCCAAGATGTCACCAGGAGCTTCATGGCTCTAGCCAGTGGGCAATGCTCTTTGCTGCTGTGTTTTTCCCTTCACCATGACTCCACCCTGCTGACCTTTAAGTAATAGGCTGAGAACACTTCCAAAGTGGAGCACTTTTCCAACTGCCTTACAATCCCTCTGTCTATCAGACCCAATAAGTATAAGCCTCAACCACCAGTCCCACCGGCATCTGCCAGGATAGATTTCCAAGTCTTTTTATGGCCTTCATAAAGTTGGGATCAGGGGGATTTTTTCCACAGGAGTTGAGTAGAAAGAAAGACTTTCTCCACCTCTGTTTCTCTTTTTTAACTTCATCTTTTGTTCTTGCATTTGGGAAACGAGCTCATTCCGTGAATAAAAATAACCTCTTGATTTGTGTCCTTCTTCCTTAAAACAGAGCGAGACTTGTTGGTGGATCTAATAAAGTTTTTTCTCTCCCTTTCTTTTTCTCATGCACTGTTAAGGCTGTAATTTTATCCAGATGCCTTTGCTACTAATAGCCTTTCACTTTATGCTCTTGTATTTCACACACACACATTTGCCAGCCCATCTTTGCTTGATGTATCTCCCATCTTTTCGCCTTCTGAAGATCACGGGACTCTGTAGGACTCTTCCTCAAGTCTTTTCCTATTCTAATGTTTTCCCCTTCTATTTTCCTTTCTATTAACATGTTTCTGAGGCTTCTCATCACAGGCACCTCAGGGCTGTTAGAGGAGACCAAAGCAAACTGTTAAGAATGAGCCAGCGCAAATAGGTAGTCAAGCCAAACCAGGGGAACTGGTGATGAGGTTGTCTCCACCAACAGCTCCAGCTGAAGGAGAAGAGATCCATTCACAGTTAAAGCAGAGAGAAAGGTGGTAACAAATTAAAGGAATGAAAAGGATGGAGGTGCCAAAACATGTTGTCGCCCGAGGGCCTGTGATGAGGGACATTATGTTTCCTGCCAACAGGAGGGGTTCTTACAGGTGTTGGCTGCCAGCTCAGTGTCTTGTGCACAACCTGTTCCAAAGTCTCTGGCACCAGGTCCATCCTTTCTCTTGGTGTTTACACAGCATTCCTAACCTCTGTGGGGTCCTAAGGCCATGACAGAGCCTCTTTACCATGCTTGTAGCACAAGTAGAAAGAGTTAACTCCACTCTGGTCAAGCCCCTGCGCCTGCCAAGCAGGGTGAAGAGCTGGTCGGCAGGCCTGGAGGATACTGGTACGGGATTTAGGAACAGCATGTTCATTTTGCCTTTCCACTTGGATTGTCCCAGGAGGACACAGGCAGGGGGTCCTGGATGATCTTAATGTCCTTTCCATCCCAGACTGTTCTATGATTCTATGAACGCATTCCTCTGCGGCTGGTTCATCATCTGTAAAATAAGGATGCCATCGTTTCCTTCAGTTGCCTTATTTATGCCACAGACAGAGTGGAACCTTTGCTGACATGGGCCTACTGAGAAAGAAGCCGTGGCATTTAGTGATGGTGCTGGCAGCTTCTCTATCAAAGTGTGCTGGAACCTAGTCTAAAAGTTAGAATAAAAGAGCAGGAGAGTGATCAAGTCTTCCCAGCCCTGATTCCAGTATGCTGCCTCTACTGCCTTCTCTGATGTGGCTCAC